GCCCATATGGGTTCACTAGCCAAACCTAAAATACATCACTTGGGTTTCCCATCATAGTGTATGAGATTTCTATATCGCGCTTGAGGATCTGATAGAGCCCGTACATTAGATCCATTATAAAAGGTATCTTTTTTGATGGATCTATATTGACACACTTCCTTAATATTGGTGTTGAAGCCAGAACCGTTGCAGCGTTCAATTTGTTTAAGGCATGTTCTATCCACCACCCTCCTGTGGACTTTAGCACCTAGAAGTTTGGAGAGCAGTACGGTTAAGTAGATTCCCTCACATTTTTCAATATCAAGTGGTCGGTGAAATCTGTCATTCGCTAGTGCATGTTTAGTAGGCAGTGGGCACTGCTTCATACGCATTACTTTAAATGACTTTTGAGGTCAACCTCTTAACGAGTACTCTTTCACTTCAGCAGTTCGCGTAGCACTTTTTCCGGGAGTACATCTAAAAATTCTGTCAAAATCATTAAAAAGAGTTTGGCTTAAACGATATTTAAAATGCCCCAAATGGAAAGAATCGAATTGAATAGATCAATTCGATTCTTTTCATTTAGGACATTTTCTTTTATTAAAGAGCTACTGAGAAACAGATTCTTCTGAGCGAATGCTGTTGCCGACCAAGTGTAGGCTACGTAGTCTTTGCGACGAAAACGTAAATATTCATGTATTTTCACTACGCAGATCACGCAAGAACCCATTCTATTTGAGCGTGGGTATTTGAGTGATCTCTAAAGCTGTCTTCGGAGGCGAGATCAGATCAAGCTGGTAAGTTCCTATTCTTGATCCTTCGTTGTCCAGGGCATTTAATGTTTCGATTATGTCCGTTAATTTATGGTCCAGAAAGGGTGAAGACTTATTCCCTCACTAGCCTCATGGGCTAAATTATCAAATGACACGTTGCAATTTATCCCTTAATTTTCTCTGGCAGTGGTTGCCCTACAATGGCCAGGTATTATACGTGTAATTACCAAATTACGCAGACTATCGTATTGTTAATTAGCGATCGTTTTTTTTGTCACTTGGGTATAAAACGTTTGGAGGACAACCATACCTTATTCCCTCAACGTTTTCGGGTGGTTGACTTTTAGCGCAGACTTAGTCTCAATACATTCGACGGAATCTGGATCCAAGGTGTGCCTGAATGCCATGCCATGGATATATTTAGTCGAACTGACGACCGAACTATACGTGAGTCAATCGCATTCATTCGTAATTAGCCCAATATTAGTCGGCGCGTTAATGGATTTCGTCAGATGACCATCTGATGGACAAGTGATAGGTTAGTCGACGTTTAGTCGATGCCAGCTAACTTGTGCTCGTATCTTCTGATCTACGGCAGTCAAAGGTTTCATCGCGATTTGTCTACCACTTCCAATTTTAATCAAGTCTTCATCGTGTTGGTCTCTCTTCAGTGTAAAGTTCAAAACTATTACTATTTCCATCACTATTACAGATTTGTTGTGAGGTCCATCTCACAAAATCGCTTGTGTGAGGGTCAATCTTCACCTTGCCTAGCCTTGCCGACTCAAAGAGGGGGTACTCCGATCCGCGCCTTGTTGTATAGCCTTGTGCTCACCTTGTGTACCCGTCGGTTGGGCTGGCTTGAGCTCTTCGTAATGGTCTTGGGAGATGTCGATCTCGCTGAGATGTTGGGTTGAGAGTTCGCTTCCGGTGCGGAAATCCTCACACCACGAACAGGGGTTCTGCGATCCTGATCTTGAGTAGCAGCGATCTCTATTGGGAGATGTTGCGGTCTTGATCTTGGATCACACCGATATCGATTTGTGTTCGGGATCAGGGTCTTCACTGCGTGGGAATCTTCATTCAGCAAATTATAGCCCTGCGCCAATCTTGCCTTGGGATTATTCCGATCTAGTCTTGGGATCGGCCGATCTTGCTGGAAGTGCGAAATGTGGGCAGATAAGTCCTGAGTTTCGCCAAAATGAAGCGTGCCGATCTGCCGTGTGGATCGCGTCAATCTTGCTCGGTCTTGTCTTGAACGCCTTGTTCAGATCTTCTAACCACTTGAGCCGTCTAGCGATCTTGAAACCAAAAGCCTTTACCATGTTGCTGCTACCCTAGCAGTTGAGTTGAGTGTGAGTACTTGGTCGATCCGGGCCAAACTTCCCGAGATCGCTCTTCTCGATCTCGGCTAACAATTCAACATCGGTCTTCAATGTCCTTGTAGCACGCGTGCCTCAAACCCGTGGGGAAGCCGAAGAAATCTTGCCCGGAAGAGAAGGGGGTAACGCGCGTCGTGAGCAGAAGAAGTAGAGTTCAAGTCTGTTTATTTACCAACCACGTTACTAGCCAGCCTACCTTTAGGCCTATTCCTAACCGTAGGTCACTCTCCAAATCGATATCACCTTTAAGCTTGACCGCCCCCTTGAACACGTAACGGAATTTCGTGACAATTACTCCAAAGATAGCGCCAATACTCCCAATATCGTACCTAGACACCAAAAAGGGAACAAATTCCAAATACGGTACCAAATACCCAATTTTGGTACCGAAAAGTCTAAAATAGTATCCAAATACCGAATGTGTCTAAATCCACTTTGCGACGTCAATTCAACCGGCTTCCACTGGCTCTTTCGATCTGAACTTTTGGGACATCACTCATGGGCCTCTAACAAGCATGTTTACCATGACCCAATAGTTCCACCATCAATATATCTATACTCAGCAGGGAACGTGACCGATCTGGTATCCGATTCGAGATTGTTGAGGATTGACACAGTACAATCCGGCCATATCTGTTCTTCCGTTCATTGTGCGTACTCCGCTACCTTTCTCAGAATTGTTCGCTTCAACATCTGCATCCTTGCCTTTGATCATCCTTCAGAGCGGTCGTTTCTTTCAATTTAGTCCCTCGTCCCAGATCGCACCGTGGAAATCACCCCTTTCTACGCCCCGTCTCAAATCACGTCGCATCGTCTGGTCCCAGGCGCACCTTTTTCAGAATAATTCTACTTTTACATCCCCATCCTTGCTTTTATTCATCCTTCATAGCGGTCGTTAGGTTCAATCCAGTCCCTCGTGCCACATCGCACCGAGGAAATCACCCCTTTCTACGCCCCGTCTCTAATCACGTCGCGTCGCCTGGTCCCCGGTGTACCTTTCTCGGAATTATTCTGCTTTTACATTCCCATTCTTGCCTTTAATCATCCTTTAGAGCGGTCGTTAGGTTCAAGCCGGTCCCTCGTCCCAGATCGCACCGCGGAAATCAACCCATTTCTACGCCCCGTCTCAAATCGTTCCATACCCATTAGTCTGACGACAGGTAGAGCGGATCGTTATTCTCCGTTGGGATCACCTTCTATCTCCTTTTGGATCGTCAGGTCCCTTGGCATCAGTTTCCGCCAGTGGGTGACGTCTTAACTGGGTGGTCACCGCTCCACGTCCTATCATCCCATCATTCGATTAGTGACTTTACTGCTCTTCCAACACCCTCGATCGTCGTGTCTGGTAGACCCACCAATGGGTGCATGCCTTTGATCGTCCACTACGATCACGTCCTTCTTCTTCACCAGTGTTCTTCTGCCAGATACGCTGATCCTTGTTTGGTTCATCTTGATCGGGTGTTGTCGTTACACAAACACGACGACGATCCAATTCGTCTTTGGACACAGTCGACTCCGATTCCGAGCTGCCGTTCTCTACCTACTCTCAGATCTGTTGCACTGCCCGAGTCGTCTTAGACACCATTGGGTTTAAAGGTGCAATCACTCGCTGTTAGAGTTTGTTCGATCCCATCGACCCCTTCATCTGACGACTCTCCATCCGTTGACACGCACAGAGAGTTTCTTCCATCTCCTTATTCCCATCAATTGCAGTAGGGTCAGCTGTTTTGCCAAGTCGCGTTCATCCAGTGCAGCAATGAATGTTCCACATGTTCGAGGCGCGTGGCGGCGGCAGCCGCTCTCTCTTCTTTGATCGCGATCTTGTCGTTATTGCCTGCGACGTTAAGATGCAAGAATTTCATCGGGGTTTCGATGGATCGCTTCCGCGCGAGGTGATACTGCCTGGCCACTGACACACCTTGTCTTCCATACTGTACCATAAACCGATCCAGCAATCGTTTTCAGTTGTATCGTTTTGATCGATTAAGCTGTTTGTACCAGTTTCGTGCTTGTCCCGTCAACAGGTCCTCGAACGCCAAGCATTTTTCTTCATCTGGTGCCTGATCGCGCAAAAACGTCGACGTGACCTTGCTGATCCAGCTTCGAGATCGGTCTTTGTCTCGATCTTATCCACCGAATTCCTTTAGCTCCATCATTGCTGACACTCGAATGCGCTGAGGAATTCTACCACCCTCCTGCAACGTCTCTGTGGTGGCCATCATTGCACGTCGACGCTCATCTTGGCCTGAATCGTCGGGATCAGCATCTTTAGGATCGAGGATATCCGATCGACTGATATGCGATTGCAACAATTCCAATTTGACATCCGGTGTAGATGATTCGCGGTTTCGCAGGCTTAATCCTTTGACTTGGGTATATCGCTTGACATTCCAGTTCCGCTGATCTTGTTGAGAGCGTTCCATGGCTTCAGTGAGGTAGCACTGCAGGTTTCCTTGCATCGGTGGCGTCATTTGTCCTTTTTCGCGGATGATCGTCGATCACGGTTCGACCTTGATCCTCTTAAACCGATCACGCAGATGTGCCGTCCTACTTGGACCCAAAGACATCCTTTGAATACCGACCGAATTTTCCGATTCCATCTCGGATTCCACCGAGGTGTACTGCGACGATCCGGTATGGTTTCTCCTTGGGTCGTCGGCGATCGCATTGCCATCTTAATCTGTGGTTTCGACCCCCCCCATCAGAGCGATCAACTTTTCACACAGCGATTGACACTCGTAGATCACTTGATCTTGATCGCACTAAAGCAGCTTGTTCACATCGAACACCCCAGCGACGTATCCAACGCCATGTAGTAGCTTGATGATCGCGTTGATTCCATCCAGCGGGTTCGTTGCCGCCTTCGGTTGGGATATCGAACCTTGAATTTCTCTGATCCGCTTGGGCTTCAGCATCTTGAGCACTGGGTCGTTCGATAGCCGATTCTTTAGCGCCTTTCAGTGACATCCCTGCGCTAGTTGATCCAACTACCAGCCTTCAATTTTCATATCCAGAGCATCATCCACGAACTTGATCGGTCGCTCGATCAATTTCGCACTGCTATCGTGTCGATATGATCTGGACTCGTCTTTCTTCACTCGATCTGTCTTCCAAATCTTCTTCTGCAACATTGCCTGAGTGGTCTTGTGTATTATTTGTTCAGTTTTCGCTGAAGGATGTTCACCCAGCGGATCGTGTTTTGCAGCACGATCCACGGTAGTCCCCGAAAGGACCCAAGAAGGGGGTTAAGGTCATCTCCCGGATCGTACGATCGACCTTCCTCTTAGTTTTGCTTGTCCTCAGAGTGTGGTAAAGTCATGAATTAAATGATGGGGCGAGAAACGGTGTCCACCCAGTTAAGACGTCACCCACTGGCGGAAACTGGTGCCAAGGGACCTGACGATCCTAAAGGAGATAGAAGGTGATCCCAACGTAAAAAACGATCCGCTCCAACTGCCGTCAGGCTGAAGGCGATGCAAAGTCATTTGAGACGGGGCGTAGAAAGGGGTGATTTCCACGGTGCGATCTGGGACGAGGGACTAAATTGAAAGAAACGACCGCTCTGAAGGATGATCAAAGGCAAGGATGCAGATGTTGAAGCGAACAATTCTGAGAAAGGTAGCGGAGTACGCACAATGAACGGAAGAACATATATGGCCGGATTGTACTGTGTCAATCCTCAACAATCTCGAATCGGACATCGGATCAATCACGTTCCCTGCTGAGAATAACAATATCGATGATAGAGCTATTGGATCACGGTAAACATGCTTGTTAAAGGCCCATGAGTGATGTCCCAAAAGTTCAGATCGAAAGAGCCAGTGGTAGCCGGTTGAATTGACGTCGCAAAGTGGATTTAGACACATTCGGCATTTGGATACTATTTTAGACTTTTCGGTACCAAAATTGGGTATTTGGTACCGTATTTGGAATTTGTTCCCTTTTTGGTGTCTAGGTACGATATTGGGAGCATAGGCGCTATCTTTGGAGTAATTGTCACGATATTTTGTTACGTGTTCAAGGGGGCGGTCAAGCTTAAAGGTGATATCGATTTGCAGAGTGACCTACGGTTAGGAATAGGCCTAAAGGTAGGCTGGCTAGTAATGTGGTTGGTAAATAAACAGACTTGAACTCTACTTCTTCTGCTCACGACACGCGTTACCCTCTTCTCTTCCGGGCAAGATTTCTTCGGCTTCCCCACGGGTTTGAGGCACGCGTGCTACAAGGACATTGAAGACCGATGTTGAATTGTTAGCCGAGATCGAGAAGAGCGATCTCGGGAAGTTTGGCCCGGATCGACCAAGTACTCACACTCAACTCAACTGCTAGGGTAGCAGCAACATGGTAAAGGCTTTTGGTTTCAAGATCGCTAGACGGCTCAAGTGGTTAGAAGATCTGAACAAGGCGCTCAAGACAAGACCGAGCAAGATTGACGCGATCCACACGGCAGATCGGCACGCTTCATTTTTGCGAAACTCAGGACTTATCTGCCCACATTTCGCACTTCCAGCAAGATCGGCCGATCCCAAGACTAGATCGGAATAATCCCAAGGCAAGATCGGCGCAGGGCTATAATTTGCTGAATGAAGATTCCCACGCAGTGAAGACCCCGATCCCGAACACAAATCGATATCGGTGTGATCCAAGATCAAGACCGCAATGTCTCCCAATAGAGATTGCTGCTACTCAAGATCAGGATCGCAGAACCCCTGTTCGTGGTGTGAGGATTTCCGCACCGGAAGCGAACTCTCAACCCAACATCTCAGCGAGATCGACATCTCCCAAGACCATTACGAAGAGCTCAATCCAGCCCAACCGACGGGTACACAAGGTGAGCACGAGGCTATACAACAAGGCGCGGATCGGAGTACCCCCTCCGTGAGTCGGCAAGTCTGGGAAAGTGGAAGATTGACCCTCACACAAGCGATTTTGTGAGATGGACTACACCACAGTGGTGCGCGTGCCAGGATATTCTGAGGCAAAAAAAATAATTGTGAGTCCACTGGCGAAGGTATCAAGATCAAGCAAGAACCTGGGATTGAAGTGTCAGCGATTGTGGGATTCTCGCAAACACTCAAAAGCGCAGGAACCCCAGATCATCAGGGCTTCGGGAGGGACTCTGAAGAACTGAAAATGAAAGAGGTCGATCGAGAGATCGATCTGGAAGATAAACCTCGACCCCCTCCAAGGATCATTTCGGGGGCCACCGCAGATCGCTCTCCAAAGATCGCTCTGCCGGACGAAAATCCAATGGTGAAAACCAAACCGGCCAAAGCCGAGCCCTATCTTCTTGTCGACAGGTCCCTTCACCTCAAGCCGAGGAAGACGATCTCGAGGTCTACCACACCGAGTCGAGCTAAGATGAAAACGCTGAGATCGGAAGGCGAGGATCGCCAGATCGACCAGACCGTAGAATCGAATATTAGAGTCAGAGAGGAACACGATAAAAAACTGGACGAGATCGCAATGCCAAAGACCGAATATGACCCAGTGAAGATCTCGCCCATGGAGAATGTAACGGCGAATAAGTGGTGAGAGCGCGCGAAATGACAGTGGTATAACAGCCATTTGAAGACACTGCTCAAGACAGACCCAGTGTTCAAGATATTACGGCCCAAGTTGATCGGTCCTCTGCGTAGGCCGACCTCAGTCACGCTGCCCGGGACAAGCAAACTCGACACGATTAATTTGAGTTTGCGGATGTTAGAAGACATGGGTTTCTGCCCTACTGCTTTCGATGTAGATGACTTGCTGGGTAGCAGCTTGAAACAGTTGGAGAGTGCAATGAGTGAGTTCGTGGAGATCATGACACTAATGGTGGACAAGACCACTACTCGTAAAGACAAGATTGATACAAAATTCGGACTCACTCCGGGAGCACATTGCAGGATCGCCCCACTATGCCTCAGCTGACTCCGAGATCGAGTCAGATGGGTCCATCAGCATTCGTCGGATGTCTCTAGGACCATCGGGAGGATCGTTTCTACAGGAAAGGATCGGCAAGGCCAAGATTGACGCCTTTAAAGGGCAAGCCAAGATCGACACACAACTAAGGTCGGCCGGTGCACCTACTGGACTGGAAGATTCCGCGGTGGACGACCAGAGTCGTTTCTTCAATACAGCAATGAAGAAGTACGAGGCAGATCAACGAGCACCCAAAGAATGAACCGACAGCCGAGCCGTTACTCATATCGCCGTACTATTTTCCAACCTTCGCAAGAAAACTATGACATGCCGGATATGGATATGGAATCGGTGAAGTCCAACACTTACAAACAGATCCATCAGAGGGCGGAATACGATCCGGATGATCTGTGGATGGCTGAACCGAGACGAACTCAAGTTGCCGCGACCAGTGTGACTACTGAAACCAGTATCTTCACTCAGAAGATCATAGTCTCAGCGATCTCGGAGCTCAAGGAGTCCTTGGAAAAGGATTGGGAAGAAGATCGGGTGCGAATTTGGATGAGCAAAGTGAAATCAGCGTTCCTCCGAGACCAAGCGTCGGAAGAAGAGAAATTTTTAGTCTTCGGCGATTTAGTGGTGGGCCCAGTCTGCTACTGGTATCGCCAGCTGAGCAGATCGAAGAGATTCAAGTGGAAGGATCTGATGAACAGCTTTCTTGTGGAATATACGGGGCATGGGATGTCAGCGAGCCGGCAATATTACCACGCAAAGAAGCGATCGGAGGAGGACCCCTTGGAATACTTGTATCGGCTCAATGTGATGGGAACGCAGGCTAATATATCGGTGATGACGGGATTGCCAGATGCACGCAAGGAACATGTTAACCATTTAATTGACACCTTGGATGACCCCAATCTGTCCAATCAACTACTATTGCTGAATGTGGAAGACACGGAGGTCGTGCACACGATCATGCATGGATACCAGCGAGGGAGATCGCGCCAGCGGAAAGTGATGATGGAATCGTCCAAATTCAGACAGAAGGGAGAGCCTGCTTCAGTGCCGTCTAAGCCCGCACGGGCGGTAAGGATGATCTGCACCGAGGACGTCAGCAGCGAGTCAGGATTGGACACCTATGGATCGGAATCAGAAGATCGTTTGAGATCGATTCATGTGGCCTCTACTACAGATCGGCTCAAACCGACCCGCGATACTTCAGCGAACACGGGATCGGAAGACCCGACTACTCGTCAAGACTACCAAGGTCGCAGTGTGTCACAAAAACCGCGTACTCGTTGAGGATTGACCAAGCATGGAGATCTCGGTTGCTGGAAGCGGCTTACTTGCCAGAAGTGTGAATGCAAAGGACATCCATCCGACAATATATTTTTCATGTGTCGCGCCTGCGGTGAGATGCATGACCCAGGAAAGTGTCCGATGGAGGAGTTCTACAACAGAATCTGCCAGTGGTATGTCCCAAACAAACATGCGGGTATGTTACCGAAGAAGGACGAGAAGATGTTAAACTAGAACGCTCGCCAGGTTGGAATCTGGTACGAGCCGAGCGTTATAGGCTCTGCATCATTGCATACGTGAAGAAAAAGGAAACCTATTGCGAGAGTGAGAGGATAAAGATATGGAAACTAATACATCTCGGTCGAATCCAAAACGTGTCACTTCTGTCTCCCATCTCAAGAGGATCGACGAGTACTTACGATCTGGACCAACTATGGAGATTGAGCTCGCTTATGGTAAATCGCGCGGATACTGGATGCATTACTCGCCCAGGAAGTGGTTAAAGCAGGCGAAGGCTGTTGGCAAGATAAACAACAAAAAAGCTACTCTGTTATTTGGTTCTGGTGCTCAAGTGTCGATTATTGACACCACCTTTGCTCGTAAGGTCGGTTGCATTATTGACGAAAGTCAACGACAAGAATGTATCGGGATCAGAGAAACTCCGTACATGACGATAAGACGTACCAAGATCGATTTAACCCCTACGGGATCGCTGGTAAATTATTTCAATGTATGGGTAGGCGATCAAGCGGGACGAGACGCGATTTTGGGAATGGACTTTATGGTACCTGCCGGAGTGCGGCTCGATCTAGCCGTCGGCGCGCTATGTCTACCGAAAGAAGTCCGTATTCACCTTGCAGGACGTCGCCCCGCGTACGAATCGAAGGTACAGTATGTGACGGCGAATGATCAACACGTAATGATCACATTCGGGGAGTCAAGAGAAGTGAAGTTAGGGATCGGCGGGGCCAAGATGAAGTTGTGAATCGTCAGAGGACCCGACTGGTTACCTACGATGATCTCAGGGTTCGGTAGGAGGAAGTATCGGCAGGTGAACAATATTGGCGATCGCGAGATTATACTGCCTACGCATGCTATACTGGGCGTGTGGACTGGAGACGACATGATACCAAGGACTCAAGGCTTCGTGTCAGTCGGATCGGGGATATACAAAGAGTGGTAAACTCCGGCGTGTGAAGCTACGACAGATTCGAGTGAATAGACTTCCGAAAGAACAAATCGGACCATTGGTAGATCGCCCAACGTGTGCCACCCCCAAAGGCATCATGATACGACCGCCTATTGCGCTAAATGATATACCTCCAGCGGTCCCCATGGTAATGCGGCAAGCTGGCGACGAGGAATTGCAAAGGGCAGATACCGTTGTTACGGGAAAAGATACGTTTAACGAAGTCGGCTCGACTCCACTCGATAAAAAAAATCTATCGTCGATGGATAACGATCATGGGATCAAAACCGAGATCGCAATAAGAAAAACTCACGGGATCGAACAAGGAGGACAAAGCAATAGACTGTCTTCATTTGACCTCGATCTTGCAGACAACAGATCAGATTTCAATCAGTCTGAGGAAACACAAGGTTCTGGGGAAGAGATGTCGTCTAAGATCGACGAAAACTGAGATAGCGGAAGCACCAGTCTACAATCACGAGAGTGGAGATTTGTTCACTGAAGATATCGCACAGCAAATGGCGGTGCTGCCCGAGATGTCGGCATCTAGAAAAGAAGTTACAATTGATGACATTTCGGTAGGCGACCACAATGTCCCTCTCACCACAGATCAACAAAAACTCAGATCGTTGATTTGGAAGAGCCGTCACCTCCTTATGGAAAAAGGTAATGCTCTACCGCCAGCAGCACGAGGGCGATCTTTGATATCGATGTCGGTGGGGCTGAACCGATAGCACAAAGAGTCCGCCCGGTCGCGCCCAAATATAGGGAGAAGTTATCAAAGCTCATCAAAGGGTTACTAGTGGTTAAGATGCCCCAGTCATCCACGTCGCCTTGGGCGTCTCCGATTGTGGTGATCACCAAGAAGAATGGAGTAGATATTCGCCTTTGTATTGATTATCGAAGGGCGAACCATCTGACGCGGCTGATGGTTTACCCCATGCCGCTGATCAGCGATCTGCTGGAAGGTTTGGATAAGGATCTATGGTACTGCTCGTTAGATATGGCCAGTGGATGTTGGGTTGTAGAAATGACTGAGTGCGCGAAACTGATCTCAGTATTTGTCACGCCGTTTGGCCTTTTCGAGTGGCTACGGATTCCCTTTGGACTCAAGAATGCGACCCAGTTCTATCAACGTCTTGTTGATAACGCGCTGTATGGATATCTCAAGATCGGCCGGATTTCAGATTCGGACAGCCAGATCGATGTATTCAAAGATGGAAAACCTGAGATAGGATCGACGACCCTCCATACTGGGACGGCGACCTTACATTGACGATATCCTCATACCCGCCACGTCATGGGATTTTTTGTACGCAAAAGTGGAATGACTGTTGGAATCACGCGATAAGTGGAATCTGTCCATCAGTCTTACGAAGTGTTTTGGGGGGTTTCGCAATGTCGGTTATTTGGGCCATCGAGTGTCGATGGAAGGTCTGGAGGCTCTACAGAAAAACTTGGAAACGTTGGTCAACATCCCGTTTTCTAGCACGCTGCGAGCTATGCAATCTTTTCTGTGGAGCCTGAATTATTACCGCCGTTTTATTAAGGCTTTTGTAGCATACGCCGCTGTGTTATACGAGCTGAGGGGATCAGATTTATTTGAGGTCAGTCGAGCTCAACGTGCATCGGGAGACGAATGGTCGAATGAAGACAGATGGAAGAAAGCTAAGGTTTCGTTCACGATGCTGAAGGCTAAGATCGCTACAGGTCCCATGCTTAACCTTTCCACCCGGATCGCCCTCCCGTAATCGTGGTCTACGCTAGTAAGTGGGCGGTCTCAGCGGCCCTAATACAGGAGTATGATGGCATGTATCATTCGATGACGTTTATTAGCCGCACGTTAAAGCCTAACGAGCTTAACTACGGAACGGTGGAGAAGGAGGTGCTGGCGTTGCTTCGTGTTTTGGATGTGTGCTGTACCACACTAGCCTCAAGAGAGATCACTGTGTTGACTCGGCACTCCAAGTTAGCGTGGTTGATGCAATCTCGAGGGCTCAACAGGAGATTAGAACGGTGGGCTGCTTTGCTGTCGGACGGGACTATGGAGGTGAAGAAGTGCGAAAGAGGAGAGGAAGAGATCTTGGGTATGCTAGAGGCGAGTATTACCCCGAGAGAAGATATGGAAGAGATGCTGATTGCAATCTCCCCGCGCAAGGACTGCCGACTCAAGATATCAACGCCACCACCAACGGTGGAAGTAGATGAGAAGTTGCTGGTAGCCAGTTTCGATGGATCGGCGAGGATAAAGAAGAAAGGAGGTTCGTTCAGTGCCGTGATATGGAGGCTTCCTGAGTGGACAATAGTGGCAGCGGAATCCAGATATGCTCTCGACCTGACCGTGAACGAAGCTGAGTATAATGGCTTTCTTTTACGCTTCGAGTTACTCGCCGATCTGGACAGGGGGCGAGTAATTTTTTGTGGAGACTCCAATTTGGTGATCCGACAGATGCGCGGTTAGATCGACTGCAAGGCACCGGGCCTTCAACTTCTCAGGCGTAAAGCGTTGGAGAAATTGCGATCGTGGACGAGTCACAAATACTTGCATAGGAAGCGAGAATGGAACCATAGTGCAGATCGACTGGCCAGCACAGCATTACAGAATGAAAAAGGAAGAACTATTGTAGCCGAAGAAGATCAGCGACATCTGATTGCTTTGAATCGCCTGGATAAATTGTTGAAACCCAAGCAGACGGGTCAGCTTGCTCGAATAATGGCAATATCAATATCGGCCGGGAGGAGACGTCATCAGCCCGAAGTGTTACAGGAAGAGATGGTGCAGAGGATTAGGGTTCGACGAATTGGCCAAGCTCAAGATGAGGAGCGTCGGATTGTCATTCTTAAGAAATATCTGAATGGCGATGTATCTAGCCTGGACGCAGGAGAAGGGAAGATGTGCGCGAAACTGGCGCCGGAGTACGAGATCGATGAGAACGATCTGATTTTCTTCTGCTTCACGGCGAAGAGAGAACCAGAAGATCGCGAAGGTTTGATGCGTCTGGTGATCCCAGAGACGTTGAAACAGGATGTTTTGCACCACAAACACGCTAGTCTGGAAGGAGGCCATCAGGGTATTGGCAGGACGTACCAGAGGATCAGATCGCGGTTCCACTGGAGAGGGCTGTATCGGAGTGTGCAACGATAAGTGGGCGAATGTGCCGACTGTGAGACTGGAAAGGGATGTTCCACGGTTAATGGGAGATCGCCTGGCAATTTACAAGCGACCTGTCCATTTCAGATTATCGCAACGGATCATATACCGACGTTGCCCAAGTCGCTAAAAGGGAATACAGAGCTACTCATTTGGGTCGATCTCTTCTCAGACTACGTGATCGCAAAAGCTAGCTCGTCACGGAGCGCACAAACGATCGCAAAAAATTACGAAGAATGTGTGTTCCAACGCTTCGGAGCTAGCGAAGCTATCAGGTATGATCGGGAGCAGGAATTCATGTCCGACTTCTTCCGAGCTTTCAGCCAGATCGTGGGACAAAAACAACGTGCCACCATAGCCAACCGACCACAAGCAAATGGAACGGCCGAACGAATGGTGCAAACCTTGACGCGGTCGCTCAAAATGTACGTTGCCTATGTCGACCAAGGAGACTGAGGTGAGTATGCTGAACGGCTCACCTTTGCGATCAACACCGCACAAGATCGTATCAGAGGGGATATCCCATTCTATTTGATTCATGGGTGGGATCCGCGATCGACGTTGGAAGCTACGCTATAAGCGGGGGACACAAGAGCAAGAGATAGCGATCCTAAAAGGTGGAGATACAGCATCCAAAGACAATATCAGCAAGCCCGATCTGCAGTGAACTATCATTTACAATCTGCAATCCGGGAGAGATCGGATCAACACAATGAAGACCTAGAGCCACATGAAATAGAATTGAGTACACAAGTTTGGCTATACCTGGAAAGAGTCAAAGAAGGATAAGCAAAGAAGCTAGCGCATATGTGGCATGTCCATTCCGAGTTGCCTATGTATGTGGAGATCATGCTGTGAAATTGGAGATTGCTGGGACCCTACATCGGCTATTTCCGATTGTACATCTATCGAAGCTGAAGAAGGTAGAGACGTTCCCTGAACGGCCGAAGGATCACCTTACGACAGATGAAGCAGATCGCTTGGACTTTGATGAAGCTCTGTTACACGAGGATAGTTGAGAAAGGGATCTTGAGGAGGGAGAACATGGAGTAAAAAAATATTGGGCGTGCGATCTGATCGGAAAACCCGTTATGGGCAAGTGCATCGACAGTTTCTGGTGAGATGGAAGGGACGTTCTGATCTGAGTTGGGTGGATGAGGTCAATCTGAGTTTGGAGCTATCTTGCAAGCGTTTGAGCGGAGCCGAGTGAGTCGGAATCATTTCGAAGTAATGCAGTCTCACGAAGTCAAGTCGGACGAACCTTAACGGTCGGGGCAGATATGCTAGGAGACAGCATTTGCGGATGAATGGATTTCAAGGTGTGCTAGGAGGTAGTACATGCTGATGGATGGGGTGGCAAGGTGTGCTAGGAGGTGGTACATGCGGGTGGATGGAGCTATGTGTGTGAGTATGGAGACAGACCAGTGAATTACCTTACTGAATTAATGGACTTGAGTGCTTGGACCGAAGTTGTGGAGGTATAGAGAATGAATTACCAAAGAAAACGGTTGAAAACCATACAACACGGAGAAAGATGATCGAGCTGGAACACCGATCTGGAGCTAAGACGATGGAGCAGGCTTGAACTTATTCTGAAGACGAGGAAATTGCGATACTGGATGGTCCCAATAAGCGTTGCGGAATTGGTTGCGCCAAGGATCCTCACGGTCGGCTATTTCTTAAAGTCTCTAGCAGGTCGGGTGGGTCGGCAGTCTGCCCCAATCCGGGATACCAAACTCGCTCTTCCTGCATGCGCGGGTAATGCAAAAAGAAGGGATTGAGCAAGATATCCAGATCGCAGTGGCCGTCGATCATGCCGCGGAGTATCATTTTCAGGAAATTCTTCCAACGTGCTCTGAAACGAGATTGACGCTGTTTTTGCTGACGCTAAAAAGTTAGCAGGAATCGATCAGATCGTCACTGAGCCGGAGAGATCGGAAAAGCGTGCGTGGACTCTCACAGCGCTCGGCGATGACTGGACTCCAACTCCAGGTAACGAGTGCCCGTTTCCCGATACCATCCGGTCAGGGAAAACGAGATCGGGTTCACGGGGATCACGATGTTATCCCAGGGAGATCGGGCGTATAGAGCCTCAATTTGTCGCCACGAGATTAGCCCATACGCTCAAGTCCCCGTAGGTAGAGTCCGTCCGTGAGAGTGGGAGGGGAATAAGAAATGCCTGGGCTTGGAGTAGTGGTGGAACAACAACTCAATCGACATCTTCCCCACGCAAACCATCGCGATCCGCGAGACTGACCAAGTAGCAATCTCAGAAGCTACCCGATGGGAAGGTGCCGAATAAATGGGGATCCACCGATCCCGTGGTTGCTGAAGTGGTGGGAGATTGTTGAGGTCGACAGTCGCGAAAATTCTGTTAGCCACCTGGCGCACCGGAATGGCGATGATGTTGTTGTCTCTATCGGACAAACGGCTGGCCGGGAGTGTAGTAAATTCATGGGGCGAACTAACAGAGCCGATCTTGCTGGGTGCTTCCGGAAACGACATATCCACATCTCCAGAGTCATCATCATCCGAAATGTCTTTTACAGGAGCAGTCGCAACCGAAGTAGTCTAATAAGTAATATAACGAGGCTCCGGCTCGTTCGGTGAATGCGGACGCGACAGTTCTTGGCCGAGCACAGTTGTCACGGACAGAGTGGGATTTGTTGGAGTAGCCACTGAGGTGTCTGGAGTTGCAGATCGGTCGTCTGATCTCGGTTGACGAAGAGCGGCCGACCTGGATTGGACATTACAGACCGAGTCAGATCGTCCAAGCTATAGTCAGACTCGGTCAGTTCTACACTTCCCGATCCAGTCCCAGATGCCGCGGACATAGATGGAGAAGAAGGAGAATTGGAGGAAGGCGCTGGTGCGGCCGATCGGGGAAGTTTCTTGAAGGGTGTTGAGAGGTTCAACGATAATAATTGGGTGTTCGCTCGGGTTACGGAAGAAACCCTGAACCGTGATCTTGGTTGAACACGCTGACGCTTGGCTGGCGGAGCAGACGATCTCGGTCGGGTCTTAAGGATGTGTTATCCCGCCCCACGGACGGTAGAAGCAGAGGTCGATCCCACCGGAGTAGCATCTCTGGGGGTCGGATTGGAGATCACTGCAGACGACTGGGACCCGAGTATGGCACTTTTCAGTGTGTCAAGAAGCGCACGATGTTCTGCCACGGCCCAATCCCGATCTTGCTCCACCACTGCCTAGCGGTCGTATACCGCAAGATGTTCTGCAAGCTGACGACGGAGGTTACCATTTCCGACCTGCGACTGTGTCAGCTGACCTTCCAAAGGACACAATTAATTTACTTGCTGTATGAGATCGCCGATTGCAGTTGAACCCTCTTCGATCTCCGCTCGAGACCTACCCAGCTCCATCTTCAAATTAGAAACATTCGCACTGAGGAGGGACCTGTCGGAGCCCAACTGGTCACGCTGCTGTCGGAGGAAAATACGATCCGCTTGGAGTGAGCGGACCTGCACCTCTAGAGTGCCCATCTGCTGTTCCAAGCGGGTCAGGTCTTGATCACTGGCACGTAACAACTCGTTCAACCGAAGAACCTCCGCCGACTGATCCCGAAGGGTCTGCAGAGCCAGCCGGCAGTCTTTCAAGGAATAAACGGCGTCAACATGTCGAACTTGCATCAAGTCGTACCGACGATGAACGAAAGAGACAAAGGGGGCGGCCGATCTATACATATAGTCGATCTCTTCCTGCAAGCGATCTCCTCGCGCGACATCCTCTTGGTGTGACTGCTAAAGCGCGTGGATGGTATCCGCTTGGCTGCGGAAAGTGGCCTCTCGATTCCCATAAATACGTGATCGTCGCCAACGTAGAACGGATGTCTTCCGCGGAAAATCTCGGGACATGTTCGTTGATGTTTACAATTGAAGCAGACCCATAAAGAGACCCACAAGTGGCCAGTATGTCGGATCCGAATGCGCCAAGATGAGCTGACGATGTGGGAGGAGCGATCGACTCCGGCTGGCGGTTCGGCGATCCCATGAGAATCGGTAACGATCCGACTGGACCAGGATGGTTTGAAAACTCGGATTGATCAGGAGCCGTGGCAATACGATTCCCACTATCTGAAAATCTGGCCAGTAGATCTTGGTCTGGAGACATAGACCCTGTCAAGCGTAGACCTGGCAATCTCACAGGGATGGAGGCGATCCGGTCGGACCAAGATGTTTCAGGGACCTAGGCCGATCCAGAACTATGGGAGCATGCTCCCCGCGATCTGGCGATACGGAAGGCCGATCTCGATACGGAGATAGAGCCACAGTGGAACCATCCGAGGCGATCGGCGAAGTGGGGAGACGCGTTGGGGTGGTCATGGAATGGACTTGAGTGCATGGATCGGTTTGATGAGTGACTGGTCTGAGGCCGAATGCTTCCCAAACGGACTCCAGTACAGGGGGCGGTTGTAATTAAGTCATTAATCAAATGATGGGATAATGGGACGTGGATCGGTGTCCACCCAGTTAAGACGTCACCCACTGGCGGAAACTGATGCCAAGGGACCTGACGATCCTAAAGGAGATAGAAGGTGATCCCAACGTAAAAAACGATCCGCTCCAACTGCCGTCAGGCTGAAGGCGATGCAAAGTCATTTGAGACGGGGCGTAGAAAGGGGTGATTTCCACGGTGCGATCTGGGACGAGGGACTAAATTGAAAGAAACGACCGCTCTGAAGGATGATCAAAGGCAAGGATGCAGATGTTGAAGCGAACAATTCTGAGAAAGGTAGCGGAGTACGCACAATGAACGGAAGAACAGATATGGCCGGATTGTACTGTGTCAATCCTCAACAATCTCGAATCGGACATCGGATCAATCACGTTCCCTGCTGAGAATAACAATATCGATGATGGAGCTATTGGATCACGGTAAACATGCTTGTTAAAAGCCCATGAGTGATGTCCCAAAAGTTCAGATCGAAAGAGCCAGTGGTAGCCGGTTGAATTGACGTCGCAAAGTGGATTTAGACA